CCCTCAGTGGTTTTTTTGCAGGTCTTTTATTGGGGTTCACTAGGCATATGACAGGCAGGTGTGCTGGCTGGTGGGGCTGGGAGGCTGGCAGGCTTCCCAGCGCCCCCAGCAAGTCTTCACTCTATCTGGGTTCTCTGGCGTTCGTTCTGCTGCTTCTTGGCTTCTCTTTCGGCTTCTGCTTCGGCTTCTCCTGGTGTCCCCGTGACGCCGCCCTTAAAAGCAGTCTTAGCCCAGGTGTACCCACTCCAGGTGCCCACCATCAGGCATGCATTCAGGATCACAGGGTTCCCTCATCTATCCTGATGGCGGGAGGGCAGAAAAGCCTGATATTTTTCCTTACCCCACATTCCACCCCCTCAGGGTTTTCTGCCATATAGTCTTTATCAGTCTCTATATACAAATCATAAACACATGTCTCTTGGCAATATGAACACTGCAGCCATGGCCCACAAAAGTAAATGAAATACATCACAATATAACAAAATACAATGGAACACAAATAAGTCCAGGTAGGGCCCCAACCTAGTGCAAAAGACAATTATTGGTACCAGCAGATGAGCCACCAAATCTGTTGCCGAAGGCACTGCTCATACAAGGGAGGGGAATCACTCACGGCATCTACTGTAACACCAGGAGCCGTCAGGCTTCCTGGCCTTCTCTGGCTGTAGTCTCGGCTACAAGCCACACACAGCATCCACCCCCAGGATGCACTAGCTCTGGGATTGGCGATTCTATTCTGTTGGGGGTAATCGCCAACCCTCAGGGTTTCTGTCTGCAGTCGCTCCAACACTCGGATTTCATAGCCACCAATGCGACTCGCAGACCCTGCACTCAGGCCAACCCACTGCACAAGCACATGGGTCGGAGATCCAAACTCTACATTTGGCTTGGGCTCCACCCCAAGCTACGTTCCCCACCCATCCCCCAAGAACGGGTTCCTCAGCTCCTCACCCTCACTCGACAACACGCAGGGCATCACCCACAGGTGATTTTATGAGACTCACAGGTCTTCAGCATACTCAGGCTGCTTATCAGCTACTCAGGGCTTCCCAAACTTAGCATCAGTACCAGCTTTTGCCTTCTCAGTTGGCTTTTCTCCTCTGTCTAGATGCTGGGCATACACAGGTTGCCTTTGGCCATCAAGGCCCACTGGCCTCCCCCAGATTCCCATCTTCTGGGGTTTACAAACAAAACTGTTCCACCCTCAGGGTCCCAAAACATATCAACCTGCAAGGTCCTCCACCTTCTGGCGGGATTGTCAGTCCAAGTTCATCAGCCCATGTCCATCAGTCGAAGTCCGTTGGCCTCTCCCTGCATCAGGACTGGCGAGCTCCAAATCGTGGTCCTTTCCTCCCCGACGATTCTGCTGCCTCAGGGGTCGTTGGCTGGTCCTTTCAGGTGTTGTTGGCTGGTTCTCTCGGGCGTCTCCTTCATGCCAGGTCTTGTTCTGTAGCTCCTGGATCTTGTCCCTCTCCTGTTCTGCCATGATGCCTCCAGCGTCGTCACAGGAATAGTCTATTACTCCTTAGTCCCTCCAGGTCTTCAGAGGGCTCCATACCCGTCTGCATGGATCATCCTGCCAACTACACCAATTGTAGGGGCAGGAAGACCACAGTGCAGATATTCTGATCCAGCAGACTAGGTTAAGGAGGAGTCCTGGAGCCCTCAGTGGTTTTTTGCAGGTCTTTTATTCGGGTTCACCAGGCATAAGGCAGGCAGGTGTGCTGGCTGGGGGGGGGGGGGGGGGCTGGCCTCCCAGCCCCCAGCAAGTCTTCACTCTATCTGGGCTCTCTAGCATTTGTTCTGCTGCTTCTCGACTTCTCTTTCGGCTTCTGCTTCGGCTTTTCCTGGCGTCCCCGTGACACCGCCCTTAAAAGCAGTCTTAGCCCAGGTGTACCCACTCCAGGTGCCCACCATCAGGCATGCATTCAGGATCACAGGGTTCCCTCATCTATCCTGATGGCGGGAGAAAAGCCTGATATTTTTCCTTACCCTACACTGGTCCCTGGCAATAGTGCAGTGCTTAACCTCTTGCACTACCAGAGAGGCCATAAATAATGTCTTTTTGACTGAATTCCTTCAGGTCCTCCTGAGGAATGAGCAAACTTATTCTAGAACAAGGAAGACAAGTGGGTGAAAGGACCAGTCCCCCAGGACACTGGACTAGGTCATCTGGAGTCTATCATTGTCCACCCCACTTCTCCTAGGTTGAGCCTCTTCCAAACCTCTCACGGCCTTGGTGACAGCCGAGGGTGCTCACCATGCATGCCATGGCCACCGACAGGCCCCAGAAAATGATGGATGCTGGCTGAGTTAACAGGGGAGAGGAAACCTCCTGGAGGCAAAGAGAAACTTACCACTTCAACCTCATTAAATGGTCTATTTACAAATCCAAATTGACCTGCCAACCCTTTGAAAAGTCACTCAACTGAGTAGCTGGAACATCTACCGCTCATAAAGACACCGGGAAAAGGACACTCCCGAGAATGGCACTTGTGGAGAGTGGGAGCTGCTTCCACTGTGAACATAATCTGACAATTCAACAAAAATACCACCCCCTCCCCCACCCGACCAACCCAGCAGTGCAGGTGGGATACCTCTAGAGAAATAAACTTGGAGTTAAGATACATAAGGATGTTTGTTTTTGGCTTTATTTGTAATTTTGAACTAGAAACCACCCAAATGCCCATCAAGAGTAAAAATTAGGGCCTCCCGGTGGCACAGTGGGTTGAGTGCAGCACTATGAAGCTGTCTGCAGCCTCTGTAGCGCAGGTTCGATTCCCGGCTGGCCAGGGAGCTACCCACATGGCGCAGCAGATCTCTCCTGTCTCTCCTGTTGCTCCCCTCAGCAGTGTATTTCAGTCAATCTGCCTGTTCTGTTCCCCACTCTGTCTCTAGTGGGTCCTTTCTCACCCCATGCCTTTGGCTTGTACCCCAGTTCTTGTATGCATAAATAAATAAACCTTAAAAAAAAAAAGTGACAACTAGTGCCTCCCTGCTTGTGGAGGGATTAAGTCTCAGCAACATCACCCTGAAGGCCTGAGTTCCATCCCAGGCCAGGGAGCTAACCCACATATGGCAGCAGACCTCTCCTGTCTTACCCACTGCTCCCCTCAGCAGTGTATTTCAATCAGTCTGCCTGTTCTGCTCCCCACTCTGTCTCTGGTGAATCCTCTCACGCCCTTACCCCCAGACCCCAGGTCTTGTATGCATAAATAAATCTTTTTAGGGCCTCCCTGGTGGCCCAAGGGGTTGCTCTAAGAGGGAATCTGCATCCCCTGCGGCAGGAGTTTGATCCCTGGCCAGTCAGGGAGCAGCCCACATAAATGCAGCAGACCTCTCCTGTATGGCCCACTGCTTCCCTCAGCAGTGTATTTCATCAGTCTGCCTGTTTGTTACCCACTCTGTCTCTGGTGAATCCTCTCACACACACCCTCTCCCAGCACCTCTGGCCTGTACCCCCAGCTCTTGTATGCATAAATAAATAAATCTTTAAAAAAAAGAAAAAAAATTTTTTTAAAGTGGGGCCTCCCTGGTGGTACAGGGGTTAAAGACAGCATGGTGCTATCAAGATATCTCCAGCCACTGCAGGAGGAGTTAAATCCCAGATCCCTGCCAACAAGGGAACAACCCACATGGCGCAGGAGACGGCTCCTGTCTCACCCACTGCTCCCCTCAGCAGTGTATTTCAGTATATCTGTCTGTTCTGCTTCTCACTCTCTCTGGTGAATCCTTTGACCACTCCCTCCCCTGCACCTCTAGCTTACACCTCAGTTCCTGAATGCATAAATAAATAAATCTTAAAAAAAAAAAATTAAAAAAAGCGAAGACTAGACACATGCTGATACATCCACAGTATGGACTACTTGCATTATCAGGAACGAGTTTAACCTGCATTTAGAAAGAGAAGTGCATGCGCTGCAGAATACTGCGAATAGTATTAGTCTATCCGTGAGAGAGCACAAAACAAAATGGAGCACAAAACAAAATGCTTAGGCATTTGAATATGGGCACGTATCAAAGACACAGTGGAGGGCACGAAGCAGACAGTCCCTCGCACGGTCGCCTCCTGACGGTGAGAGCAGCCACTTGTTAACTTTTATGGCAGTTCGAGTTGTTCACCTGTAACAAGAAGCCCGGATGACTTTAGTAATTTAAATTGCATACACAGGGCCTCCCCGGTGGCGCAGCGGTTGAGCGCTGGGTTGCGAAGCTGCCCGCGGCCTCTGCGGCGCCGGTTCGATCCCAGCTGCTCCCGGCCACCGGAGGAGGATCCCACATGGCGCACAGACCTCTCCTGCCGCCCGCTGCTCCCCTCAGCAGTGTACTTCAGTCCTTCTGCCTGCTCTGCTCCCCGCTCTGGCTCTGGTGAATTCTCTCACCCTCCCGCCCTTCTGACTGTACCCAGTGCATGTATAAATAAATAAATAAAATCTTTAAAAAAAAAAAAAAAAAAAGACAGTCTTGCAATGACCCTGATTTGTAAGCTGGGCTACTCAGAGCTAGGAAATCAGACACGAGAGCAGATTTTGAAAACATAATACTGAACTGGCGTGGTGAGGCCTGAACATGAGAAGGGCCCTAATCTGAAAGCGACGCAGGAAGAACTCAAGCCCAGAGGCCCGAAGTCAAGTTTGGACCAAAACGGCGCTTCCAGTCTGCGGTGGCCAGACCCGCCCCTGTAGATTTAGCCCAATGGGGTTCAAGGGGAGGGAAAGGCCGCCTCCCCAGCGGCTCCCGCCCAATGGGAGCCTCTCCGGACGCGCGGCCGGCGAGGCCCGGGGCGCTCTGCCTGCGCGGTCGGGGTGCGGCCTGTGGCTGATGCGGGGCCCGGGCGACATGCTGGGCCCCTGGCCCGAGGGCCCGCTCGTCCTGCTGCTGAGTTTCTTCGGGGCGGCTGGTTCGGGAAACCAGGCCAGTGAGTGCGGGGCGACGGGTGTGCGGGGTCCCGCTCCACCTTCCAGGCCTGCTGATCGCCACGCCACCCCCCTGCAGCCCCTCAGCCCTACAGCCAGAGACTTGCCCTCCCTGCCTCCAGCCAGGCGCCCATCCCCACCGCCAGAGGCCAGTGGTGCCTCTGGGCCCTCTACTCGTGGGGGCCTGCTTGTGCAGACCCCTCCACGATACCCCAACTGTGGCCTTTATGAGGGAGCCAAACCAGGGAGGACCAGGGAGAGGAGGCTGCCAAGGCTGAGAGATGAGGCTGGTGAGGGGTGAGTTTGCACGGAGACCTGTTGCCTTTCAGAATAGCATGATAGGAAGGAACAGAGAAAGTTAATTTTTTATCAGTTTGGTTTTTACACCCCACCCAACTCACCCCACAACCCCTCCCTGATTAGCTACTTCCTGCTTAGGATGTGAGGGATGAAAGATGAATAGGATCAGATCTTTTACCAGTATTGGGCTGGTAAACAACAACAAATTTTATCGTGCAGATCAGTGCATAGAATGTTACAAATGCTGTCACAGCAGAATGTATAGGGTCTTAGGGTTCCCAAAGAAGAGTGGGTTCTATCTCTGGAGGCGCAGAAAGACTGGAGAGGAGGTGGCTGACATTCAGTGATGGGAGGACAGGTGGGAAGACACAGCTGACTCAGAACTTACCTGAGCTGGAGTGCCATCTCTTTTTTTTTTAAAGATTTATTTATTTATGCATACAAGAACTGGGGCACAGGCCAGAGGGGGGGGGGGGGGGGAGGGGGAGTGGTGAGAGGATTCACCAGAGACAGAGTGAGGAACAGAACAGGTGGATCCACTGAAATACACTGTTGAGGGGAGCAACAGGTGAGATAGGAGAGGTCTGCTGCACCATGTGGGTAGCTCCCTGGTGGGCCAGGGATCCAACTGTGTTTCAGTGGCTGCGGATAGCTTCACAGTGCTGTGCTTTAACCCTCTGCGCCACCAGGGAGGCCCTCTCCAGGTGTATATATATATATATTTTTTTTTTAAAAAAAAAAGATTTATTTATTTATAACAGCACTGGGTACAGTCAGAAGCACGGGAGGGTGAGAGAATTCACCAGAGCCAGAGCAGGGAGCAGAACAGGCAGACGGACGAAACACACTGCTGAGGGGAGCAGCGGGAGAGACAGGAGAGGTCTGTTGCTCCATGTGGGACCCTCGCGAGTGGCCGGGGATCGAACGGGCGCTGCAGAGGCTGTGGGCAGCTTCGCAGCCCAGCGCTCAACCGCTGCGCCACCAGGGGAGGCCCAGGTATATATATATTTAATATTTATTTATTTATGCATGCAAGAAGTGGGCCAGAGATGTGGGGGGTGAGAAGATTCACCAGAGACAGAGTGGGGAGCAGAAAAGGCAGACTGACTGAAATACATTGCTGAGGGTAGCAGCAGGTGAGACAGGAGAGGTCTGCTGCACCATGTGGGTCAGTTCCCTGGCCGGGGATCAAACTCATGCTGCAGTGCCTGCTGATAGTTCCACAATGCTTTGCTTAACCACTTGTGCCACCAGGGAGGCCCCCTCTCCAGGTATAACATAAACTCCTGAATCCCAGCCATCTCCATCCATGGTAGATCTCATTTACCCAGGTTAAGGATGGAGAGGGAGGCGTAGAAGTCATGTAATGTCCCTAACTTAATGTTCCTGCTATGTCAGTAAGTGAGGGATGTCAAACCAGGTCTGAATCCTGGGCAAGGACCTGTCACACAGGAGCAGGCCTAGAAATTGGGTGTTTCTGAAGGCAATGGGGAGAGGCTTATGGAAGGATCTCAGACAGAGCAGTAAAACAATGGCACTTGTGTTTGGAAAAGCCCCCTTGAGGATCAGTGTGGAGGAGAGAAGGTGGGAGCTGCAAGCACAAGGTGAGTAGAGGTTCAGGGGTGACGGGTTTTCTCCAGCCAGAACTTGTAAAATGAGCAGAAGACAGGGCTTGAGGGCCTCCCCAGTGGCCCAGCGGTTGAGCGCTGGGTTGCGAAGCTGCCTGCAGCCTCTGCAGCGCCGGTTCAATCCTCAGCTGCTCCCTGGCCACTGGAGGAGGGTCCCACATGGTGCGCAGACCTCTCCTGCCACCCGCTGCTCCCCTCAGCAGTGTACTTCAGTCTGCCTGCTCTGCTCCCCCGCTCTGGCTCTGGTGAATTCTCTCACCCTCCCGTGCTTCTGACTGTACCCAGTGCTTGTATCAATAAATAAAAATAAATCTTTAAAAAAAAAAAAAAAAAAAAAAAGACAGGGCTTGAGCAAGTGACCCAGAAAATTATAGGAGTGGAGCTAGGTAGGGAGGCTTGAGGAGAGGAGTCAGCTCCAAACTGAACAGTGACAGGAGGGAAAGAAACCCAGGGTCACAGGCTGCTGAGAGCCCAGGCCAGGAAAGGGTGGGTGGATTTAACATTTAGAGGTGGCTGGTGACCTGTCAGATCAGCATCATGCTGAGGCCAAGACCATAGTAAGATCTGAGGAAACATAACAGTAGAAGCTCATCTTTTGTTTAAAAAGCAGGGTAGCAAGGGCCTCCCCGGTGGCGCAGCGGTTGAGCGCTGGGTTGCGAAGCTGCCCGCGGCCTCTGCGGCGCTGGTTCGATCCCCGGCTGCTCCCCGGCCACCACAGGAGGGTCCCACATGGCGCGCAGACCTCTCCTGCCGCCCGCTGCTCCCCTCAGCAGTGTACTTCGGTCCTTCTGCCTGCTCTGCTCCCCGCTCTGGCTCTGGTGAATTCTCTCACCCTCCCGCGCTTCTGACTGTACCCAATGCATGTATAAACAAACAAATAAATAAATAAATACATAAATAAAAATACATGCCTCTTATAAAAAAAAAATAATAAAAAAAAAATAAAAAGCAGGGTAGCCACCTGACAGTACTATTTATGGGGAAGGGTGTTGGAGGGCCTTAGCTCTCTTTGTGATGCTATTCTGAATGATTGGTCTTACTGTTTACTTAAAGAAAAAAAAAAATCAGGCCTCTTTGGTGGCACAAGTGGTTAAGACGAAACCTATGAAGCTGTCTGCAGCCGCTGCAGTGCGAGTTTGATCTCCCGCCAGGGAGCTACCCATATGGCACAGCAGACATTTCCTGACTAACCCGCTGCTCCCTTCAGCAGTGTATTTCAGTCAAATCTTTAAAAAAAAAAATCAATCCAGGGGCCTCCCTGGTGGTGTAGGGCTTAAGTCTCAGACCTATCAAGCTATCACCAGCCACTGCAGCAGGAGTTTAATCCCAGGCCAGGGAGCTAACTCACATGGCCCAGCAGACCTCTCCTTGTCTAGCCCTCTGCTCCCCTCAGCAGTATATTTCAGTAGATCCGCCTGTTCTGCTCCTCACTCTATTTTTGGTGAATCTTCTCATACTCATATTAACCCCCATCCACTCCGACACCCAGCACCTTGGCCTTTACCCCAGTTCTTTTATGCATAAGTAAATAAAGTAAATCTTTTTTTTTTTTTTAGAAGGAACCATTTATGAGGTGCTTGCTCAATGCAGATTCTTCTTCTTTTTTTTTTAGATTTTATTCATTTATTTTTGCATAGAAAAACTGGGGTGCATGCTGGGGTGGAGTGGTGGTGGTAAGAATGGGGAGCAGAATAGGCAGATCTGCTGAAATACACTGCTGAGGGGAGCAGTGAGTGAGGCAGGAGAGGTCTGCTGTATCTTGTGGGTTAGCTCCCTGGCAGGGGATCAAATTCAGGCCACCAGCAGTGGTAGTGCAGACTTAACCCCTAGGCTAAAAGGGAGGCTCCCAAAATGCAGATTCTTGGGCCCCACTCAACCCTCCTGAGATCAACTCTGGAGAGGAAATTCCTGGAAACAACCCAGGTGACCCTTGGCTCTGCAAGCTTGGGGCACTCTGCATTTTACCCTCCTACAGCTCTGAGGGACTGGCACTGAGGAAAGGGTTTCTTTGCTGGCTGAAGGAGAACAACCAAGGGATCAAGTGAGACCCAGGCATTCAATTTCTTTTTTTTTTTTTTTTTTTAAGATTTACTCATTTATGCATATAAGAGCTGGGGTGCAGGCCAGAGGTGTGGGGGTTGAGAGGACCCACCAGAGACAGAGTGGGAAACAGAACAGGCAGACCAACCAAAGCACATCGCTGAGGGGAGCATTGGGCAAGCCATGTGGCTGCTTCCCTGCTGGCTGCTAGGGAATGAACTCGTGCTGCAGAGGCTGCGGACAGCTGCATAGGTTGCCCCCATGCGCCACCTGGGAGGCCCCCCAGGAATTCAATTTCAACAAGAAAAGGGGCAGCCTGTTAGGGACATACAGAGGTAGGTATGGGGGGATAGGGGAGTTGTGAATTAGCCACAATTCTTAGGGTCAGAGATATCTCTGAAATAAAGGGGTACAGCAGCTGGTAGATGGTTTGAGGCCAGGATAAGGGTTTACAGGAGAAGGGAGAAGAGAGCGAGTGGAAGCCTCAGGAAAGCACAGGGAGATGGAACAGCAGCCAGGATCACAGTTGCTCAGACATTCCTGTTCCCCCAGGGCTGAGAAGGCAGGGAGTGGCCGTAGATGAGGGTGGAGAAGTCAGCCTGTCAGGGGCTGGGACGTCCTCCTGGGACAAAGGTCAACCTTGAAGGAGCAGCAGAGTGCTGTGCAGACAGATGTGTTTCTGAATACATCACTCTGATGATATCAAAGAGGATAGTTTTTAAGTGGTTAAAACTGAAGGGCGAGAAATCTGATGGGAAGACTGAGTATAATCCAAGCAACCCATGCTATAGGTTGCCTGGTGGAGGCAGAGAAAAATGTGCAGGACAGAGAAATGGGGCGGGGGGTGGGGGGTTTGGGGGGGTTAGTGGAGGACCTGGCTTGGTAATTGAAACTGGGAGGTGCAGAGGGAGGCAGCAGTCTAGGGTAACACCTGTGGCAAGCTCTTTGCTGATTGTTTGGAAATAGCCAGTTGTGCTAGAAAGAAAACAAATGGGCTAGAAGGAGCACATGCGTTACTTATAGATAAGTAAGTTAGCCTCTGCGAGACATGTTCCACATAGATAAGTGGCACATGGTTGTGTGACCTGAGATTGAAAGGGATCAAGTGGGCACTGAATATTCATGATGCCCTGAATAAGTGGGGCTTGCCATTCAGGAGGGTCAGTTGGAGAGGACAGAGGCATATCACATACCCGAGAATTCAGGCTGTATGATCCAGCTTGCCCCGACATGTGAGCCTACCCCATCGTACTCCTTTTGTTCATCACTGTGCAGATTATATTTGACCACCATATTTGTGGTCTGTGACCCATTTTGTGCCGTGGCTACTAGGAAAGCTTCCTGGTGCTGCTCCAGAAGCTCCCAGGCATCAGGGTCGTCTTCCCACCACTCCTCAGCCCTTGCTCAAGTAAGCAGGTGGATTGGACAGTGTTGCCTTCCAGGAATGTAGGATAAGGGCAAGGTTGGCCGACGGTGGGGACTACGAGCATATGCTCAGCTGGCCTGTGTTGAATTTGAGGTAGGACATCGGTGGATGCAGCCGCCAGCCACTGCGACACAAATTCAATCCCTGGCAAATTCAATCCCTGGCTGGCCAGGGAGCTACCCTCATGGTGCAGCAGACCTCTCCTGCCTCGCCTGCTCCTCCCCTCAGCAGTGAGGTGAGGTGTGGGCGTCTCATACTGGAGCCGCTACTATTGAAAACTGTGAGATCCCACGGGGAAACCTGAGTTTCCCTCCCCATTCCCCTGACCCACCCTTTGGGTGTCCAAAAAACAGTCCTTGCCTTCTTGCAGAAATCTGGTGGGATCATCTCCCTTGACGGAGGAGATAACCCTGCCATCTTTTTCTCCCCTCAGCAACCCATTCTATGCGCTATGACTTCATTGCTCTTTCACAGCCCAGCCCTGGGCAAGCCCCTTATGAATTCTCAGGCTACTTGGATGACCAGCCTTTCCTGTGGTGCTGCAAAAGGGGCAGATGGGCAGAGCCCCGGGTACCCTGGGCCCAGTCCAAGAACCCGGAAGCTTGGGAGAAGCTCGTTCTCAGACTAAAGGCCCGAGCCCAGTACCTTGTCATCATTCTCAGGAGCATCATGGAGCAGCACAACCAGAGCCAAGGTGATGGGCGAGGCGGGGTAGGGAGCCAGGCGTTCCTCATAGGCCGGCCAGTGTTCCTTAGGCCCAGAGCCAGGCTTTATGCTGGGGACTCTGAAAGTGCCCCCTTGCACTGAGAATCTGACTTCTTTCCCTCCTTCTGTCTGGGGGATTTCATCCCTGACTCCAACCCTGTTTTATACCCAGTTGCCAAAAAGACTGGATGTTGGTTATTGGGTATTGAAAAGGGTAGGACACAAGTATAAGTCTCCCCCTCACAGGCCTCCCTGGTGGTGCAGAGGTTAAAGTCTCAGCATTATCAAGCTATCGCCAGCCACTGCAGCACCAGTTCAATGCCTGGTGAGTTCAATCCCTGCCTGGCCAGGGAGCTGGCCCACATGGCACAGCAGATCTCTCCTGTCTTGCCCTCTGCTCCCCTAAGCAGTGTATTTCTGTAGATCCACCTGTTCTGCTCCCCACTCTGTCTCTGGTGAATCTTCTTACCCCCTATACATATGGCTCACACCCCAGTTCTTGTATGCATAAACAAATAAAAATAAATCTTTTTTTTAAAAAAAGACCCCCCACCCCCCACTCAGGATATCGGGCTAGAGCATTCCCTGTTGTGTCTGGGCTTTCAAGCCATCTCATCAGTTGAAAAAAAATCATAGTCAATGTTTTCAAATCTGGGGTCTGGGAAATAACTAGTTTTTTTATATTTTAAAAAATATTTATTTTTGTGTAGAAGAACTAGGCCAGAGGTGCTGGGGGTGGTGGCAAGAGGATTGACCAGAGACAGAGTGGGGAGCAGAACAGGCGGACTGACTGAAATACATTGCTGAGGGGAGCAGTGGGCGAGACAGGAGAGGTCTGCTGCGCCATGTGGGTCACCTCCCTGATAGAGTATCGAACTCAGGTCCTGAACTCAGGCCCTCAGAGTGGGCCTTTGTGATGGTAGCTCTGAGACTTAACCTGCAGGCCATCAGGGAGGCCCCTAACTAGTCTTTTTCTGACACAGTGCCTCCCTGGTGGTACTTATAGGAACCCAGAAAACCCTGTCAGGATTCCAAGTGGAGTATATTTCTCACCTACATTATTTTTTTTCTTGCTCATTTAGCAGACATCTGAGGGTCTTGTAAGCACTGTTTGTTGTGTCAATAAGAGACATACAATAGCAATAAGAGACATACAATAGCAGCTATGAGTTCTTGAATTCTTATGGGCAGGTTTTACATTGACACTGGCATGTGTTATCACCTGTGATCTTTATCTTAAAGCTGAGGACTATTATTATCTGTAAAACTCAGAAAAGTGAGGCTTAGAGAGGTTCAACTATACAACAGTGGCCTTGGCTCAGGCATTCCAACAGGATGCTATGTTGGAACCTGTGCCTTCGAGAGGCTCATTGTGGTGCAGAATATAGCTAACCATGAGCCATACATGCTGGGAGTGCAGGAGGGAGCCACTTTCTGCAGGGGCTGGAGGGTGGGGTGCAGCATGACTTTGCTGGGGATGTGCATGAGGGAGAAGAGAGGTCTTGGAGAATGAGTGAGGCTTTATCAGTGGAGAAGGGAATTCCAGGCATTTGGGGAAGTGGGGTGGAGGTGGGGAAGGCAGCTGTTTTGCCCTCCTCTAACTGGAGTTCTGATGCTCTGGCATTTCAGAGTCTCACACCCTGAAGGCCAAGGTGGTCTGCGAGTTGCCGGGGAACCAGAGCAGCCTGGGACACTGGCAGTACAGCTATGATGGCCAGGACTTCCTTCTCAGCACACTGGAGTCTTTCAATTCCAGCAAAAGCGGCCCAGGACAAGGCCGAACTGCAGAGGGGGAGACAGCAAAGGAGCAGTCATTTCTGAGCAAGAGCTGCCTCTACCCTCTCCGGAAATACCTAGAAGCTGGGGCAGGACTCCGGCCTGAGATAGCAGTGATAGGTGTGTGGGACTGAGCAGTGGGGAAGGTAGAGAGACTGAGGGCATCATGGGACAGTGGGAGGGCAGGCCTCAGCCAGCCTCAGAATCTCCATGGCGTTACCTGTATCCATTGCCAGCACATTCCTTCTCTGATTGGCCTAACCTTCTGCTACTTCTTTCTTTCTTTCTTTTTTTTTTTTTTTTTAAGATTTATTTGATTTATTTATGCATACAAAAACTGGGGGGTAGTCGAGAGGCATGGGGGTGTGTGAGAGGATTCACCAGAGATAGAGTGGGGGGCAGAACAGATGGATCCACTGAAACACACTGCTGAGGGGAGCAGCAGGCGAGACAGGAGAGGTCTGCTGTGCCATGTGGGTCAGCTCCCTGGCCGGGGATCAAACTCATGCCAATAGCTGGCAATAGCTTGATAGCGCTGAGACTTTAACCCTGCACCACCAGGGTTGCCCCCTTCTGCTTCTTTCACACAAATTTGGTTAGCCCTTTCTCAACTTGGTGTTCAAGTTCTGACCCAGGCGTGGCACTCAAGGGCATGGAGATGTGTGACTAAGTCACCAAGACTGCAGTGTAAATAGCACCTGTGTGGCATCTGGGCCTGGTGTGGAGGGTCATGGCAGTTTGGCAAGACTGGAGGCGGCAAGTCTCCTCTGGTCTGGAAGGTCTTTAGGGTCTCTGTCCCATTAGCGACCCTCTACAGAGCCTAGTAAGGAGCCCCTTCCAATATATGGGCTTTGGCTTCTATCCCTCAGCTTGTTGAAAGATGGACTGCCTTTGAACCTGAATCCCTGGGGGGTGCTCCCGGGGTGGGGGGTGAGAATACTCAGAACAAGGAGCCCACTGAGTTGCCCTTTGACGTGAGCAGAAGCTGATTGGCCTGGCTGAGCTCCTGGTCCAAGTGGGGGCTCTGCGGGGGGGCCTGAGATGAGCAGCCAGGGTGGCCCAGGGAAAGGGAGGGGCATCCACTGGTCTGTCAGCCACTCACATATCCTTATCTTTCAGAGCCTTCCAGTTCAAAGCAGATCCCGCTCTGGATCCTCTGTGGGCTCGTGGCTTCTGTAGTGGTCACTGTGGGAGCTGCAGTCACCTTCCTCTGGAAGAAGTGGAAGCAGGGCAGGATGGCAGGTATGACTCCCGCCTGAGCAGCTTCTGGTCCCAGAGATTTAAAAAGCAACCGAGGGAATGTGAAGGGTAAGGACAGGTTAGGGTTTCCGCTTCCTCTCTAGCCTTTGGCCTGGGTTGTCTCCTTCACACCTCTCTCTCTCATCTGTTTTTCATGATTAGTTTTACTTCCTGGAGTGTATTTCCTATAAGCTCCCAAGCATTGAGCACAAGTCAAAACTGGCCCCAAACTCCTCCTGCGTGTCTTGATTACACCTTAGGGGAAAACCCACCCGATTTCCCAGGAAGGCTGCTTAGAGGTGGGAGGTGGGTTTGGAAAAGCCTGGGCCAGCATCTCACTGTGTGCCTCCTTCCCCACCCTCCCAACCCCAATTTCTCCTCACAGGTGCACAGGGGGAAATCTATATTCCTATGTCAAGTAAGTGCAAGGGTAGATAGGAGGGTGGATGGGGTGGGGTAGCAAGTTCATGTCCAGTTTGGAAGGAAATTAAGAATTCGTTTAGTCCAATACCTCTTTGTTAAGTGAGAAAACCGAGGCATGGGGGGCAGTGCCAGCAGCTGGGGAGTTGGATTCAGGGCCAGAACCTGCCCTGTCTGCTGTACAGACTTGGTTTGTTCAGGCTCCTCCCTGCTTCCCCAACTCAAACTCTCACCTCTGTCTCCCCACAGACTACAATTAGATGCCAGACTCCTCCATTTGAGGTAAGGATGTCTGGACTGGGGAGAAGTACAGTTTGCAGACTGCGGGAGAGATCTGGGTCTTTTGTCTAGCAGGGGTGCGGGGTTACAGTGAGCACTAGAACGCAGTGAGATTAAGGAAGATAATTTCCCAATCTGGGCCAAACCTAAACCCTCCTCTCCTCGGCCGTCTCCATTCTTTCCCTTTCTTTGCCTTCAGATTGACAGAACCCGAAGTCAGAAGTGGCCTGATTCCCTGCTGTGGAGGGAGCGTCCCTTGGTCCCATGGAGCCCTTTCAGCTGGCTTTCCAGCCACACAGCGTGCCCAGGCCCCGTGAGGACAGCAGCAAGGCCCCCATTGCACTTCTTTGAGCTGGGGGTGGGGGTGGGGCGGGGCGGAGTGGAGTGTGAGCTCTCCTGCTCTCGTGGATCTCAGGCCTGCTTTGTAACCAGTCACTAGCACTTTTCTTTGTGAATGGCCTTGATATTGCACTATAATAAAGATGTATATTGGGGGGGGGAATGTTGTTTAAAAATGAACAATGATGTAAAAAATAAATAAACATTTATATGGCAAATTTGTGAGCTCAATCCTAAACTGGTTTTGGGGTCTTGAGGTTTTTTAGTGACTCTCTAAGACCCAGGAGATCATAGAAGATTCGAGGAGCCAGGTCTGAGGACTCAACCATGCTTCCACTGTCCAGGTGGCCAACAACATGGGCTGGGTCAAAACTGGCTTGGGCAGAAGTGAAGCTGCCTACCTTTCAGGCCCAAGAGGAGCAAGAGAAGGGGAAGGGGAGCAGGTCTCAGCCATTGCCAGCCCAGAGCTGCTCTCCATGTTATGGGGTGGAGTCCACAAAGCCTGTATGGAATAGCTTTAGGACATCATTTTCCCCCTAACATCCACACTTGCCATTAAGGTTTGGGGTCGGGGGCCTCCCTGGTGGTGCAAGGGGTTAAGACACAACCTATGATGCAGTCTGCAGCCACTGTAGCACGAGTTCGATCCCCACCGAGGGAGCTACCCACATGGCGCAGCAGACCTCTCCTGACTAGCCCACTGCTCCCCTCAGCAATGTACTTTGGTCAATCTGCCTTTTCTGTTCCCCACTCTGTCTCTGGTGAATCCTCTCATGCCCCACACCTCTGGTGTGTACCCCAGCTCTTGTGTACATAAATAAATAAGTGTTGGGTCTCCCCGGTGGCGCGGCGGTTGAGCACTGGGTTGCGAGGCTGCCCGCAGGCTCTGCAGCGCTGGTTCGATCCCCGGCTGCTCCCCGGCCACAGGAGGAGGGTCCCACATGGCGCGCAGACCTCTCCTGCCGCCCGCTGCTCCCCTCGGCAGTATACCTCGGTCCTTCTGCCTGCTCTGCTCCTCGCTCTGGCTCTGGTGAATTCTCTCACCCTCCCGCGCTCCTCACTGTTCCCAGTGCTTGCATAAATAAATAAATAAAAATAAATCTTTAAAAAAAAATAAGTGTTAAAAAAAATAAAGTTCTGGGACACAGGCAAGCACAGGACTGACCTGGCTCAGAGGTCTCACTGGGGACCCCAGCGCCCACCCCTCCTTTGGCTCTCTCCGCAAAGGGCCTCTTGCTTACACCAAAAACATATTACTTAGTGCAACTAGAAATTGTAGTCCAAAAAACAAAAGGCTGATGTTGGGTGGGGAAATTGGTAAAGATGTCCTCGGAGCCACTGGGAAGACAGGGGCAGCAGGTTCTCTGGACTGGCACGGAGAAGGGTTTCTGGGAGCCTGGAGGATAGCAAGCCAGAGCTCTGGGGTTAGAGATTTCCTAGGTCTGCCCCTCCCCCACTCCGGAGGCTGTCTTCATGGCAGACAGCAGATAGATGCATGACAAAGGTGCCCTGATGGCTCTGTCCTGGGTGGGGGCATGGCTGGGGAGGGGCTCCTACTGTCCAGAGCACAGCTCCCCACCCCCACCAGGCCCCTTCATCTATTGACCTTTGGGAAATGAGTGGCTTAGAGGTGAATCCAGCTCTCCTATCCCTTGGATTTGAACAGACCTCTGTCAAGTGCTGAAATGCAAGCTTAGTGGACACGGAGGGGGAAGCAGGAAAAGAAATGCTTGTTTCGAGTTAGTTACCCACAAAAAACCCACAGATGGGCACAGAAACGGGCTGTGTGATAGGTTCAAAGGGGAAAGCAACGGGCTCCAGACTCACAGGTACAGGCAAGGTGAAGCAGCCGGCACAGTCAGAAGGGCCCAAACCCGAGCATCACAGGTTCAGGACTCAGGTCAAGAGCCCCCCAGGAGCTCCCCAGAAGCTCCTATTTAGGGCAAGTTGTGGGAGCAGACAAACATCACCCCTTGCAGGCCAGCACTCTGAGAGCTATTCTTTTGCAAAGTGTAGAGAGTTAAGCCAGCAGTGTGAGCTGAGCCCTGAGGACACTCAGGATAGGCCCAGAAAAATAGGCTTGGTGGGAGAGCTTAGGGCAGGCTTCCTGCACCCCCTCTCCAAACCCTTCTGTACCTCCTCTGCTTCTTTCTGCCAGCCCCCCCAAACAAGTGCATCCTTTTGGCCAGGGGGTGCTGGGGGAGGGGTGGATGGTAAGGCTGGACGCCAAGTCCTCCAGAGGAAGGGGAGCGGGATACCTGATTCCCAGCGGGGGCCCTGTCTGAGGCCCAGTCTTTGAGGGGGACTTAAGAGGGGGAGGTGTTGCTGGAGCTCTTTTAGCCACACTGAGGGGGATTCTGTGTGAGGGGATTGGGTTGGGGTGGAGGGTGTTGAGGGGCAGGAAGCTGTCCCCAGGGGAGCCATCCAGGCCCATTCAAGGGTTGAGCACTTGTTTAGGGTTAGAGCTGCCCCCTCTGGGGACTGGGATTGTCCAGCCAAGGCCATTGTCCTGCCCCTTCCCCCAGTCCCTCCCAATCCTCTTTGAACCTGAAGTCAGATATTTTTTTTCTCCTTCCTAGACTTTCTCCACCTGGGGGCTAGAGATCCCGGCAGGGGAGGTGGGGGAGGGAGAAAAGGCCTACGAGGTACTAGATATACTGGTCCCTGAAGTGGGGGGCTAGGAACCTGAAATGCAGGTCCACAGTGGGGGGCGCTGATTCCTCTGTCTGGCAATGCTTGAAGAAGTCGGGCTCAGTCTGTCCAGCTCCTGGCTCCTGTAAGGGGGAAGTTAGCAATCTGGTAGGTGAGGGGGCTCCAAAGAGCAAGGCCTTCAAGGATATGGAAGAGAAACCTTGTCTGGCAATCTGCCCCTGGAGATGGGGTAGAGTTTACTTGGCTGGGAGATGGGTGCTGGGCCTCTGCTGCTTTGGGGTAACTGAATCTGGCCAGTAACCAGTTGTAAATATCTAGGTTCCTGTCTTGGAGGCACAAAGGGTGGTTGTTAAGGAAGCTAGCCCAGCTGTACTTGGCACAGACACAATATGAATTTGAGGAGCTGTGGGGTGGTAGGGTCTTTGGAGAGGGGTCAAACACCCGGGATCCTGCAGAACCTACAGGAGCTGTCCCAGACTGCCCAGACAGCTCTGAGGTGTGCAGAGCCAGGAAGAGGGCCAGGCAACTTGTTGGAAGTTGGAAGAGAAGGACCAGGGGCACTTGTGACAAGGGCCTTAGGGGCTGAGGCCTGGCCCCAGAGAGGAGCCCAGTTGAGCTCCAGGCCTTCCCCTTCCACAGATAAAACTTCCACCACTAGGCAAACACCCTTCGCCTCAGTTTCTCCCACCCCCACCGCCCTCTCCTCCACCCATCCAGAGGGCGGGGCCTGAGGTCAAGGCTAGTGGGTGGGATTGGGGAGGGAGAGAGGTGTTGAGCAGTCCCTTGGAGAGCCCTCCTTTTACCGGGCCCCCGGCTTGGGGCGCCTTCCTTCCCCATGGCGGGACACCTAACCTCTGACTTCGCCTTCTCGCCCCCGCCGGGTGGTGGAGGCGATGGGCCAGGAGGGCCTGAGCAAGGCTGGGTTGACCCTCGGGCCTGGCTGAGCTTCCAAGGCCCTCCTGGTGGGTCAGGAATTGGGCCGGGGGTTGGGCCAGGCGCTGAGGTGTGGGGGATTCCCCCGTGCCCCACTCCCTACGACTTCTGCGGAGGGATGGCGTATTGCGGACCTCAGGTTGGAGTGGGGCTGGTGCCCCAAGGCAGCCTGGAGACCCCTCAGCCCGAGGTTGAGGCAGGAGCCGGAGTGGAGAGCAACTCCGAGGGGGCCTCCCCGGAGCCCGGTGCTGCCCCCTCCGTTGCTGTGAAGCTGGAGAAGGAGAAGCTGGAGCAAAACTCAGAGGAGGCAAGTGCACCTCAAGGGGCGCAGGGGGTGGCGGGCTGGCAGGAGGGGGATGGGAGGCTGGGGAAGTGGTCGCCTGCAGCCGCCTAGACCTAGAACCTGGGAAGGGAGCAGCACAGGGACACCCCAGGTAAAAAGGAGCGTGTGGCAACCGAAAAAACCCAAGGCAGTCCTGAGGGCAGGGGTAAGGTGGGAACCGGAGAAACACAGGCGTGGGCAGGGCCGCCTGGGGCAATAGGAAGGTGACTGGGGCTAAACTTGCTTTCCACCCGTCCTTGTAAAGTAGGTCCCCTTCGCTCCCTAGGCCTGACCAAGGGTCCCCTCATTCAGTATCAGCCCATTACCAGGCCCAGTTTGGGGTCTGAACCCCTTCCACCCCGACCCTCATTGAAAATTTGATCTTTATCAGCTATGATCTTGGCCTTAGGGTGAAGCATGGCCTCAGGGTAAAAACAGTGCTTATCCCAACTTATTGTTCCTGAAAGTCCAGGGTGTGACTGTTTCTTTTTTTTTTTAAATGTGACTGATTTCTAATAGTTACTTTTTGGGCGCCTGTGGAGTTGGGTTTATCTGCTGACAAGTTTAGGGCTTGTCTTCCCTTGACCTCTGCCTTGGTGCCAGTGAATCTCCCCAGTGTTCAGTGCACACCCTTGGCACCCCTTGTCAAGAGCCGGGGTACCGATTTCAGCCATATTTCCTTAGGTTGTGAACGGGTTGGGGGGTGGGGAAGAAGGATGGAAAAAGTCGGGTCCAGGCCATTCCCCAAGGTGGCCTCTGCTAAGGGATCGACTTGAGTCCACTAGGGCTGGGGACTTTTAAGGATGTGTCTTTCAGTCCTCCTAGAGACAAGTGCAAGCAATTAGAGATCAAGTACTAAGACTTTAGACTTCACAGAAGGAGGTGTGAGTGGTTTTGGCTGACCAAGTAGCCCTTGACTCTTCCTAGGAGGTGATGGCTGAGTCTTGAATAATAATGGCTGCCAATTGTGGTCCATTTCCTAAGTGCCTGACTGTGTGTTGGGTTTCTACATCATTACCTCATTAACCTGCACAAAATCTCCTAGGGAGGTATTGTTGGCCTATTTCATGGGTCTTAACTGCTTAATGATGAAGCTAAGATTTGAACTGGGGTTTACCTTGTTTATATCCCCAAATCGGAATTTGGTAATGCCGAGTGGGGGACAACCGAGGAATTTATTTATAGGTTTGAGACATTGGTTGAGCAGAAATTGGGAATGGAAATTAGCCTCTTGGAATTTGATGTGATCGATCACACTTTGCAGTACCCCTTTAAGGTTTGCAGGATGGCACCAAGGCCGGGCTGCCTTTTCTGTGCCCTTGGTCTCTGGCCTTCCTTGTCGTGCCCCGGGGCTCTGACAACAAGTGCCCTATCTATCTGTCTTCCCCTCTTACACCCAGGAGTTTAAAAGACCCATAGACGTGACTGACACTATATACTATCACATTTTCTACCTCCTTAGATAGCTCCCTGAGCGGCTCCACCCCATCCATCACCCAGTAGCTCAAGTCCCAAAGCAGTCACCCTCATTCCTTTCAAATCCTACATCCAATCCTTTGGAAAGTGTTATCTTTACCTTGGAAACATAGCCTTATTTGATCATTTACAAATGCTGCCTGGTCCCAGCCTACATCATTTAGGCCTGGATTATTCCAGTTGGCTCCCTAAATTGTGGTCAACATGTCAGCTGAAGTGAACATTTTAAAATGTGTGAATCCAGATCATTGCATTCCACAAAATCCCTCAGCAACTCCCCGTTTCACTGAGTAAGAAAATCACTGCAACATCTACAGGAGCTCCTTGCTCAGCTCCTGCCTCACCAGCTCCTCCTGCTCCCCTTTCCCCAGCCTACTCCCCCTGCTCCAGCAGAGCTGGCCTTGCTCTTACTGGGGACCCGCCAAGACCTTTCCATACTCTTCCCTTTGCTCAAACATCACCTCTAACTTTATTCAAAATTATCACTAATTTGGTGTATAAGTTGTAACATACCGAAGTGTAACTCGCTGATTTCCTTAGATAGATAACCCTTTAGGGGATAAATTTGCAAAATGTTGCCTTCATTTTCTGTATTGAAATTTTAAATACAAATCACCCCATTCCCTGTTATCACTACCTTGCTTCACTTTTCCCATAGCTCTTAAACCTACTAGCATACTGGATAATTCCATGTCTGAACGAAAACTCCACAAGCCTTTTTGTCTACTGTGTGTAGCTGTCTGTGCACAGGGAGGCACAGTGACTGATGAGGATGTAAATATCCTCAGTGGTTAACAGTGAAAATCAGGGATAATCAGTTTTAAGCATTGCACCAACTATATGCAAAGCACTTTATTGCCACCTCTTATGACCCTTTTTTTTATAAAAAGATTTATTTATCTATGCATAAAAGAGCTGGGGTGTAGGTCAGAGGTGCAGGGAGAGTGAAGAGGATTCACTAGATAGAGTGGGGAGAACAGGTGGATTCACGGAAATACACTGCTGAGGGGAGCAGCAGGCGAGACAGGAGAGGACAGGAGAGGTCTGCTGTGCCATGTGGGTCAGCTCCCTGGCTGAGGATTGCTTTATAGTGCTGAGACTTAATCCCTTGTGCCACCAGGGAGGCCTTGACCCTACCTCTGTAGACTATTTGTATATATATTTGCATGCTAGGGCAGTGTGAGGCCATGACCCTATCTCTGTAGACTATTTGTATATATATTTGCATGCTGGGGCACAAGCAAGCTGGGGAGGACAGTATTGAATTGAGCAAATTTAGAGTGACTAGTATTGTTGGTTCTCTAGCTTCAAAACTCCCTCACACTTTGGGTAATATTTGAAATGAAAAAGCTTTTTGCTGTTAATTGATAAATATACTTCTTTTTTGCAACTTGGTAAATGCCCTTTTTTGGTGAATGAACAGATGGGCTGGAGCACCCTTCTTTTCCTGACTGGAGTTCTCATGGGACAGGGTCTGCCCACCTGGCACAGCGCTCTGCCGATCCCCATGGGCTCATTTCTGGGGTGATATTTGGATATAGGTTCTTTTTTTTTTTTTTTTTTAAGATTTATTTATTTATTTATACAAGCACTGGGTACAGTCAGAAGCGCGGAGGGTGAGAGAATTCATCAGAGTGGAGAACAGAACAGGCAGACTGACAAAGCACACTGCTGAGGGGAGCAGCGGGCAGACAGGAGAGGTCTGCGCGCCATGTGGGACCCTCGCCGCGGCCGGGGATGGAACAGGCGCTGCAGAGGCTGCGGGCAGCTTTGCAGCCCAGCACTTAACTGCTGCGCCACCAGAGAGGCCCTCTTTTTTTTTTTTTTTTTAAAGATTTATTTTATGCATATAAGAGCTGGGAAGCAGGCCAGAGATGTGCGGGGTGAGAGGATCCACTAGAGACATCGGGGAGCAGAATAGGCAGATCACTGGAAACACTGCTGAGGGGAGCAGCGGGAGAGACAGGAGAGGTCTTCTGTGCCATGTGGGTAGCTCCCTGGTCAGGGATCAAGCTTGTGCTGCGATGGCTGCATAGTGCTCATGCTTAACTGCTTGCGCCACCAGGGAGGCCCCTAGGTTACTTCTGGGTGTTAGGTAGGCAGCCTGGAGATGGATATTCCCACTGACCATCGCTTGGGGTCACAAGTCAGGTGCTCCCAAATGGGAAACACGCCATTCCAGTGTGTTTACGTTCTTACACGGCCTCTGTCATTTTCACTGCAGTCCCAGGACATCAAAGCTCTACAGAAAGAACTTGAGCAATTTGCCAAGCTGCTGAAACAGAAGAGGATCACCCTGGGATACACCCAGGCCGATGTGGGGCTTACCCTGGGGGTTCTCTTTGGTGGGTCCCCCTTAGCATGTTCCAACTTATCGAACGCAACCACCACATTTCCCCTGGAAGGAACAGTCCTGACCTTGGGCCTACCTTCCTCAGGGAGGGAACAGGGGGAGGGGATTCATGGGAAGACCCTGCCCTCACCCATAAAGAGGGTAGAGAGGGAGGGAGACAAGTACTTGGGCCTTGAGTTCCCCTTGGGAAGAAGTGGGACCCTGGTGTGGGATCTTGTGAGCAGAAGAGTGGTGAGGTCCTGGGACTTGGGGTTACCAGGACCCTGTCTGCTGCCTTACCTGCTTCTCTTTAACACCCGCAACACCCCAGGGAAGGTGTTCAGCCAAACAACCATCTGCCGCTTTGAGGCTCTGCAGCTTAGTTTCAAGAACATGTGTAAGCTGCGGCCCCTGCTACAGAAGTGGGTGGAGGAAGCTGACAACAATGAAAACCTACAAGAGGTGAGGAGGGAGGGGTGCACCGGTCCACTGAGTCCCCCTACACCCCAGTTCCCACTGCTTCCATCCTGGCTTTCAGCTCCCCCATTTGAAGGCAGTAGTGCATCATTCCTCAGTTCTATGGAAGAGGGTTCAGAGGCACTGGTCTTAGCACCTACCCTTCTGGATCCTTCTTTCTTATCTCCTGGCTCTGATACTTTAGTTAAAGCCCTCTTGCATACTTCCCCTTGAGTCACTGGTCCCTAGTGCTGTTGCTCAGCATGTTCGAAGCCTGCCTTCCCATGTCCTGCCTTGTCGCCCCCCCACCCTTTCCCCACTCACCTAGATATGCAAGGCAGAGACCCTCGTGCAGGCCCGGAAGAGGAAGCGCACTAGTATTGAGAACCGAGTGAGAGGCAACCTGGAGAGTATGTTCCTGCAGTGCCCGAAACCCACGCTGCAGCAGATCAGCCACATCGCCCAGCAGCTCGGACTCGAGAAGGATGTGAGTGCCCCGTCTCCTTCCCAGCCCCCACATCCATTTCCCTAGCATTGGGTGAAATGGCCAAGCCAGGCCAGACCCACCGCCCAGAGCTTCTGTGCAAAAGCGCCCCTCTCCCTTGCATCCCTCATTCCAGGTGGTCCGAGTGTGGTTCTGCAACCGTCGCCAGAAGGGAAAGCGATCAAGCAGTGACTATTCGCAACGAGAGGATTTTGAGGCTACTGGGTCTCCTTTCTCAGGAGGACCAGTAGCCTTTCCTCTGGCACCAGGGCCCCATTTTGGTACCCCAGGCTATGGGAGCCCTCACATCACTACACTGTATTCCTCAGTCCCTTTCCCTGAGGGTGAAGCCTTTCCCTCTGTGTCTGTCACCACTCTGGGCTCTCCCATGCATTCAAATTGAGGTGCCTGCCCCTTCCCAAGAATGTGAGGGGCAGAGAAAGGGGAGAGCTAGAGAAAAGAAACCCTGGGGTTTATACCAGGGCTCTGGGGATAACGTTTTCATTCACTAAAAAAAGGAATTGGGAACACAAAGGGTGTGGGGCAGGGAGTTTGGGGGACCTTGTTGGAGGGAAGGTGAAGTTCTTGATTTTAATCCCCACATCACTATCACTTTGTTCTTAAATAAAGAAGTCTGGGACACAGTGGGTGGATATTTTTGACTGGTTTATCCTTTGGTTACTGAAGGTAAGGGGGAGACTGAGTGACCCAGAAATCCTGCTCAAAATCACAGTGTCAGAGGGAGATCTGGGACTGGAACCCCTTTCTTTGTCAAAGATCCTTATAGATGTGAGCTAGTTAATAGGGTCTGTAACGTGAGGTTCTGGGGAAATTTGAGTTCAACGCCCACAGGTGCAGTTACTGTATGTATGGCCCATGCCCTATGAGGAGCTGGTCTTTGTTTTCCCCTATTTCCACTGGAAGCCCTCTGGCTTTGTTAAGAAATCAAGTCTTTAAATACTCGTTTGGTTTTTTTTGGAAAGCACTAATGCCAGCAACTCCACCTTCTGCTTTCTTGATACCAGGGCCCGTTTGGTTTCTGATTTTGCCTTCCTTGTCCATGATTGACTCAGCAAACCCCCATATTCTAGTCCTGGCTCTGGAGTTGTGTCTGGATGTGAAAAAAAGACTTGGGTTGGGTAAGTCTAGGTAGGGGTGGGAGGGGGTTGGTGATCATGTAGCTTGTAATAGGTCTAGATAGGGGCCTCCCTGGTGGCGCAAGGGGTTAAGACCCAGCACTATGAAGCTGCCTGTAGCCTCTGTAGCATGAGTTCGATCCCCGGCCAGGGAGCTATGCACATGGTGCAGCAGGCCTGTCCTGCCTCGCCTGCTGCTCCCCTCAGCAGTGTATTTCAGTAGATCCACCTGTTCTGTTCCCAACTCTGTCTCTGGCTAATCTTCTCATCCCCTGGATACACCTCTGGCCTGTATCCCAATTCTGGTATGTATAAATAACTTCAAAAAAAAACCAAAAACAGGTCTAGATAAGACTTTCTTAATAAGGGACAGTGGTGTACGATTTGTGACTGGAGAGGTGAGGTTCAAGGATGGGCTAGGTTGACCCACACTGGGCTGGGTCAGCATCTGTTTTAGTTGGTTGACCAGATTTTCTCCTGGCTGGTAGTACTAGTACAATTAGTTTTTTCATCCTCATAAACGTGACCCAAGTCTCAGCTGCTTTATTTTAATGGCAGTGGGTGTGTTTTCCTCCATTACCCAATCTATTTTCCGGTCTCCCACCTCTGGCTCACTCCATATATGTGTACAATGAGTTGTTGCGTGTTTCTCTGCCTTGTCTGCTTCATCTCCCGATTTCCTTACTAATAGTTATACACACCTCACCAAGTCCATTCTCTCTCGAGAGAGTATCAGGCCCACAGAAAGTAAATACCTAGGTGTGAATAAAGCTGCTGGCTCTTTATTTGGAAACAAAAGCAAAGCTAGAAAAGCCAGGTTGTAGTCATAGTTGAGGGCAGGATTTCCCCAGGGCAGTTTTGATGCTGTGTCCAGGTTTTCTGTGTTCATAAGGGGCTTACATCCTCCCAGGTGTGGCCTCTGCATTGATGGTGCTCTGGCCAGACATTGTAGTGTCCAAATGACAACAAGGACCTACAGCTTGTAACTAGGAATTTCCAGCTCAGTGGCAACCTCCTGGGAACAGCAATGTCTTTGGCAGGAAACCATTTCTTCTGTCGCAGTGCCCATGAGTGCCTTCCCTAGGCCTTGAGTCGACGTCCATAGCAATGGGTCTTTCCCTTGTAGTCATTCCCTCCTGGGGAGGCAAGGGAAGAAGAGGGCATTTCTTAGGACTCATTGGCATCCCATGGTTCACCTTCACCCGTGGCCTGGAGGTCACTAGCTCTGTCCTCTGACTTGGTAGTGGGCCTTAGGTTTGGATGCCAACGTGACACCCTGGGCACTGGAAGTCAGCCTCCCTGGCAGCTTGGATACTGCAGCCAACACAGGCCACATGGAACCAGGCATCACAACCATCACACTGAACCCAGGCTACTGTCTCTTCTTGGGGTAAGCAGCAATAAGGGGCTGCACAGGGCTCCCCAACCCCAACTGCTGGGGAAGCCATGGGGATGCTCACTGGGTGCTTCCGAGGACGCCCACGTCGATTTCTGAAGAAAGTGACACAAAAACCAGGGTCACTGGAAACTTACAGAAGCCTAGAACCTGCCCCTGAACAATCAGTGAAACAACACCAGACTGCTGGTGAGGCAGGCTAGCAGAGCTATCCCAGGCCTCGTCATTCTAGCACCTCCTGTCCTACCTCTGTCCGTCTCACATCCTTATCCCCTCAAGACAGCCACCTCCCAGCCAGTCTCTAAAAACAGAAGGCAGTGAGATACAGAGATGAAGCTCTACTTACCCACCAGATATCAGTGGGGCTTTCTCTAAACGGAGTTTCTTCCTTGGCTCTACAAGGACTGGTGGGGGGCTCTCTGGAGCCTCTCTCTCATCATCCAGTTCTGGTAACACTCGGTGAACTGATTTCCTCCGATTCCTTGGGGGTGGGGCAGAAGGAGTGGTCCCAGTGTCCCCAGGAGGAGTGGGAACAGGCTGGCTCTGTGGCCCACTTCCACTCCGGGAGAAGGTGAGGGGCTGGGGCTGGAGCTTGCTTAGGCTGCCAATGGAGTTGAGGATCAGTGAGGCTTTGGGGGCAAGGGAGAGAGTGCTGAGGGGCCTTTGTGGAGCCCCCTGGGGTGGTAGCATGGGCTGGAAACAAGCCCCAGTTCCTTCCCTAGACCGTGGGATGGTAATGGCAGCAAAATCTTGCGGTTTGACTCGAACTTGCTGAAACATGAAGTAGAACTCTGAGGGGCTGGTTGCTGGGGGTCCTTCAGGGCCAAAGGTCAGAAGGTCACCATCACTCAACTCTAGCCTGTGACCTTTTGGGAGTCGAACATTATTGACCAAGGTCCCTGTTGATGGCGGGACCAGAAAGAAAAAAAGATTAACAAGTTAGGAGAAAAGCAATATGAACCCACTTGAATTTCTGGGGGAAATGGGAAAGAACTTCACTCCTGTTACCAATTTCTCACATTCAAAGCCCCTCAGCAGGTGACATATCCCAAGCTCCTTGCAGAGTTAAGAACACTTTAGTTTTCTTATGCCCCCAGCCCCTAGGGCACTTTGGCAGGAAATCATTTCTTCTGTTACCTTGGACCCTGCTGAGGTCCAATTTTTTGACATTCTTCACCTGGATCCAACTCAAAGAACAGCCAGCAGCATAGCTCAGATTATCTGGGTTCACATTGTAGTTCTACCACTTAACCCCAGACAAGATAACCACTTTGTGCCTAATTTATCTTGTCTGTAAAATGGGGATCATGCTCATGTTCGCCAATACTCAAAGTACTTTAAATCAGTGGCTGGTTCATTATAGCAAGCACCAAATGGATGCTGGATACTCCAGTTATCACAACAATCCCCAAACAGACTTTACAAAGCCTTAGATTTTATCTGGTGAAGTGATAGGCCTGAGGTTTCACCTGGGGCCTGTGGCAAACCTCTGATGTGAACACAGGTCTTCTGAGGCTGACTGTTAACTGTCCTAGTCAGGGAGTGAGATACTTGCCCAGACCATGAAACACAATTCCACATATAACTGCCTGCAGACAGGAACAAGGTCCCTCAGCAAAGCTGGAAACTGAGTCAAGTCTGAGTTTGGTTCCCAAGGGCTCTAGAACTCTTCTCCACCCCAGCCTCCATACTTACCCGATGATACCCCAGGCCCTGTATGAGATAAACAGGGACCATTAAACATCAGCCCAAGTACAGAGGTCACACGGCGCTTTGGGTAGGGAGATGGAGATCTGCGTTACAATTGTACACCCAAGCTGCTAGGGAGTCTAGGGCCCTGTGGAGCCCCTTAATCATTTTCAGAACTGCAGCTATCCGGGCGCAAGGCTGCTCTGCTCACTGCTCACCTTGGCTGCTATGGTCCTCCACGCTGACCCTCCAGTCATCGCCCCTTCGCTCAGCATGCAGCTCCGCATGGACTCCGGAGATGAGACCAGACTCCCGCTGGGGCCGCAGGACCACATCGCACAGGTCTGCCCTGCAGCCCAAGCGATAGGTGCACCCAGCTCTGTTTGGCGGGTGGAAGGTGTAGAGATCACCGCCCTTGCCGCCCCCTATGCGCAGCAGCTGGAAGCAGGGCAGCATGGGCGGTGGCCGTGACGCACCACCTCTTCCACTTCACTGGTCCATCACTTTTCCCACTCCAGCACCATGCACTGTGGCTTAAGTTCACTTTCCATCCGATGCAAACTTGAGTTGTGCTTTGTGCAATTTCAGCTTTGAGCACACTCCCTCAGTAGTGAGAATTCAGAGTGCAAGGAGCCAAACCACACGACGCAAAATTGGTGTCAAGCAGCTTTACAACGGAAAAATAAATTCGGGGAAGGCCCAGGGGCGCAGTGCAAAAACGAACACCTTAAACGAACCGGGTCCTCAGAACGCCATATACTCGGGAGCCTTCAATCTGTGCAAGACAGCAACACATTAGGCAGCTTCTGGGTAAGTATAAACTGTAGGGGTGGGTAGAGGGCTCTGCTTCTGTGCAATACTAACTTGTCACGCAGTGTAATTTGGAAAAAAGACGCTTCTTCCTGTCAAATCTGCTTATCCAACTAGTGTAACCTTCCGGTCTTTTCCGGCCAATCCCTCACTCATAACTAGTCAGCTTGAATCGCGGGAAGCGAATCCACTGTCACCCCTCCAAAGGCAATGCAAACGAGTCCCTACGTTCTCCAACAAAGCGAATCTAAGCTCCTGCTTCCTGACTTCTACGTGGGATAAAACCAGGAGAAAGAGCTCCCGGGCATCATGCGAGGTAAACCCAGCCTTTTCCCTCCCGACCCCGGCCCAGCCCCGGATCTACCGCGCAGTGAAGTCTCGGAGTGGTCTCCTCGGCCAGCAGTGCCAACCGGGGCGGCGGCCCGGACCGCTCGGACTCAGGCCGGGCCGGCGCTCCCGCGTCTGTTTGACAGCAAGGCAGCCGGACCAGCAGGGGCGCAGCCTCAGCGCGCGGGCAGCCTCGACCCCGCCTTCGAAATGCCCGGGTCGAACTTGGCGCGGAGCGAGCCCGCCCCCCGTGCCGTACCTGATTGGTCACATCAGTTGCTCGCCGCCGTCCCATTGGGCGACGCGCTGGGGTGGGAACTTCCGCCTTTTCTGATTAGCTCACAATTTTTCCCGGGTTCCCGGAGTTGGGCGGAGCCGCCAGGGCGCGGAGATGCTGCCAGGCCTTAATTGGTCCGGGACGTTAGGCGCTACTGCGCCTGCGTGCACTCCTTCCCCACCTCCTTCCGGTGTGAAACGGCCCTGGAGCTGCCCGCCAACCTGTGCACCTTGCGCAGGCGCGGTCAGGGGCGGAGGGCGGGCGCTGAGGGAAGTGTAGGGGGTGTGGCCAAAGGGCTGAGGGGGGGCTCTCGAGCTGGGTAAGGGGCGTTCGGGAAAAATCGGTTGGGGGCGGGAAGTGACCTAGACGGGGGGTGCGGGGGTGGCTCCAGGGATTCTTAGGGGGAGAGGGGTGCAGCGGCGAGATGAAGTGGTAGATGACGGGGTCAGAATAGAACTCGGGGTGGAGACCGGGTGTCTGGGGTGACGAGGGGCGGGAGACGCGAGAACGGGCTGGAGAGCAGGGAGGCGCGGGCAGGCTGTTGAGCTGAGAATGAGGACCGGGATAATTCCTTCAGGAGAAGAGTTGGTTAGGTTGGAGGGCGGGCGGTAGGAATCCCTGTTTGGGGCGGGGGGAGTTCCTAAAGAACCTCTGTGTGCTCTAATTTGGTCTCTGGGGTTCTGAAGAGGGGAGGCCGGGCAACGGAACTGGAAGCTGAGGGCATGGTGGGGAGAAACTGAGAGGAAAGCTGCTGGGAGTGTTTGGATATAATGTCAGGAAACGGGCGTTTCTGCCCAGGGTTCTAGGCTGCTTAGAGTCCCAGAGGCCCTGGGAGGTGGCTTGCGGATCATGTAGCCACATTCCTCTGGAGCCAGGCCTTGGGCCAGCGCGTTGATAGAGAAGGGCCCAGGAGTCATGGCTTGGTGGTATCTGGATGGGCTTCCCCAGGGCCTGGCTGAGCCATGGAGAGAACTCTGGAGATGGGGCTCACAGCCTCTGCACTACTTCCCTCCTTACTCACCCCGGACCAGGAACTGCAGAGACTATAGAAACTTGAGGAGGAGGGTAAAGGCAATGTCCAGAATCCTAAAATATGAGTAAAGCCAAAGAGCTCCCTATCGTGTCCCCCATCTCATGATTATTGGAATATTCCTTCCCCCCATCTCATGGTTATTGAAATATTCAGTAGTTATCAGAGACCAGGTTAGGTCAAGCAAGTAGGTACTTAGGATTTTTTTTTTTTTTAAAGATTTATTTATTTATTTATACAAGCACTGGGTACAGTCAGAAGCGCGGGAGGGTGAGAAAATTCACCAGAGCCAGAGCTGGGAGGAGAACAGCCAGACAGATGGAGGGCACTGCTGAGGGGAGCAGTGGGTGCGGCAGGAGAGGTCTGTCGCGCCACGTGGGACCCTCTCCCAGTGGCCGCGGATCGAACTGGCGCTGCAGAGGCTGCAGGCAGCTTCACAGCCCAGCGCTCAACCACTGCGCCACCAGGGAGGCCCATTTTAGGATTTCTTTTTAAAAAAATATTTATTTATGCATACAAGAGCTGGGGTGCAGGCCAGAGGTGCTGAGTGTGAGAGGATTCACCAGAGACAGAGTGGGGAGCAGAACAGGCGCATCTACTGAAATACACTGTGACAGGAGCAGTGGGTGAGACAGGAGAGGTCTGCACCTTCCGGGCTGGGGATCGAACTCAAGCAGTGGGTAGCTTCACAGTGCTGAGACTTAACCCTTTGCACCACCTGGGAGGTCCAGTATTTTGGATTTCTTTCAGGAAGTAGGATAGGAAGATCTAAGAGCCAGTGGATCTGAATGTAATTTAAGGATGACAACTTTGTTATTGTAGGGCCTTTCTCTTTGGAAGGTGGCCTGAAAATTGAACTGGAGTGTCCTTGTTTCTCCTATTGTCCAGGGGAACATAGATGACTGGACACAGAATCTAGATACTTCAAATAATGTGGAGATGTTTCGACCTTCAGGTCAGTGGGACCTGGCAAGGGGACTCGTGATTGTCTTTCTTTGGGAAACTGACCAATTTTGTCCTTGCGATACCTCAGGTTCCACTGGGCTGATTCCCCCATCCCACTTCCAAGCTCGGCCCCATCCGACTCTGTCAAGAATGGCTCCCAACTGGGTCTCAGACATTCCCCTGGTCCAACCCCCAGCCCATCAAGAGTTCTCAGAAAGGCGGGCAGACAGCCAAAGACCTCCAGTGATGGCATGGGAACGGGATGGTCCTGGCAATGGGCAGGAGCCAGTCCGGAGAGGCAGGTAGGCTTCTCCATTGTTGCCATTTTCTTGGACTTATTTGCCAACGGCCCTTCTGCACAAATAGATTCCTTATCCTATTTTAGCCCCTTATTCCATAATTTGTTCATAGGCGGTTATTGATGCCTACAATACATAAATAAGACAGTGTGCTAGATGCCAGGGATGGGGTAACAGAAATGAATGAGAGACCCTGATATCTAAGAGTTAAAAATCCTAATGGTAGCAATCACCAACTGATCATGATCAGCATAATATGAGGCAAGATGAAGATGCTTGAGGAGTACAGACAGCTGTGCTAGTGTGAATTCATCTGACGCACACACCATTGGAACTGGTAATACTACAGTAAAGACCCTTATTCTTTATTTTAAAATTTTTTTACAACATTATTCATTTTTAAACAATATTTACTTCCCGTCCCCCCTCAGGTGTAGTCCCCATAGAATTTCCTTCACCAAATGCACCCATGCACCATCACCACAGTCCCCTGTGCTCCTCCCTCCCTCCTTCAGATCCCTCTCTCCTCCTCCCCTGCAGGATGTCTCTGATTTATAATTGTCTGTTTTTGTTTTGTTGTGTTTTATATTATTATTTTTTTACTCTGATGTCTTACTTGGCTCCCCTATATTCCTGCTGTAAGTAAAACCATCTGATATTTTTCTTGTTCCTTCTGACTTATTTCACTGAGCATAATTCCTTCTAGCTTCATCCACGTTGCTGTGAATGGCATGAGTTTATCTTTTTTGATTGCTGAGTAATATTCCATTGTGTATATGTACCGCATCTTCTTGATCCATTCATCTGTTTTTGGGCATTTGGGTTGTTTCCAGGCTTTACCTATTGTAAATAGTGTTGCAATAAACATAGGGGTACTGGTGTTTAAAGACCCTTATTCTTGATTTTTCCCAAATGTGCTGGAAGGTCATTCTGCTATTTTATGCTAGAGTGGGATTGCAGGTGGGTCTGCGTTGGACCCCCATCAGAAAGGAAGGGTGTTAGATTGGGTGTTGGGAGATGGAGAATCTGTTGCTAGTTTGGCTACAAGCTAGGGCTCCCTTAGCCAATCACTTAAATTCTTTAGGCTACAGATCCCTGCCACATGAAAAAAAAAAAAAATCTCAGTGGGGAAGCAGTTATAAGCTGGTTTAAGCTTTACATGACATTAGTAGATTTGAATTATCCAAAGGTAGGCACTCTATAATGATAGACTGTCCTTTCAGATTTTTCACACTCTAAAAACGCCTTTAACTAGCTCTTGGCCTCACCTGGAAGCCATGACCTCTTTCTACATCTTCAAACTTTTGCTTGCCCTTAAATTAGCATTCAGAAGTCTGTGTTCTTCCACCTTCTCCAGTGCAAAATAATGGGTTCGGGCCTCCTGGTGTTGCAGTGGGTTGAGCACAGTGCTGTGAAGCTGTCCACAGCCTCTGTAGTGCAGGTTTGATTCCTGGCCAGCCAGGGAGATGATGCTCACATGGCGCGGCAGACCTCTCCTGTCTCGCCCGCTGCTCCCCTCAGCAGTATTTTCAGTCCATCTGCCTGTACTGCTCCCTGCTCTGTCTCTGGTGAATTGGTGAATCCTCTCACTCTCCTGCACCTCTGGCCTATACCCCAGTTCTTGTATAAATAAATACATCTTTAAAAAAAAAAAACAAAATCATGGGCTCATTTGATATTTAATATGTTCTACCTGTATACAGCTGTCTCTTGAGATCGCGTTCCTTGATCTCAACTCACCTCTAGACCCTATGTGCCCAGACAGCGGACCATATGTACCTAGCAGAGCCTCAGTGAATGATGATGGTGATGGAAATGCAGAAATCCCCATGGCCCAGCTTCATGTTCCCATCTCCCCACGAGAAGCAGAGGGATCCAGTTCCCCTTCTCCTGTCTCCAGTTGTGCTCCTGGCCACCCTTCCATCTACAGAGATTGACTTTACCTCTGCAAACCTCTCTTTGAAGGTCTGTGGCGCTGGAGGGATCACAGGCCCTGAGCCAGCAGGCTGAGCTGATTTCTCGGCAGCTGCGAGAGCTGCGGCGGCTTGAGGACGAGGTCCAGGCCCTGCGGGAGACTTCACTGCAGCAGAAGATGAAGCTGGAGACCCAGGCCATGGAGCTGGAGGCTCTGGCACAGGCGGAGAAGGCTGGCCGAGCTGAAGCTGAGGGCCTGCGTGCTGCCTTGGCTGGGGCCGAGGTAATCCGGAAGAATCTGGAGGAGGGGAGCCAGCGGGAGCTGGAGGAGGTTCAGCGGCTACACCAAGAACAGGTGACGAGAGATGGGAACGGTTAAGCTTTACAGGGATGGACTTATCTTGCAGTATCTCAGCAAAGAGCAGGTATTGCAGTAAAGGCCCCCATGAGCAGTTCGGTGATGAGGTGTTTGGTGTAGGGGGAAAAACAGGTGACTTGGAAAGATGGAGAACTTGTGTGTTTTGGTCTTAGTCAGATTGTACTTTTTGCCAGAACTCAGGGGACCTCCCACCTTCATAGTGTGGTGCTTAACCCCTTGTGCCACCAGGGAGGCCCCAATAAATAAATCTTTAAAAAAAAAGGATTCTAAAGGAAAACATTCCTTGGAATGGGGAAGCCTTTCTACCTGCGAATCA